AGAGTGGGTCTCCTCAGGGTGCCGTCGGCCAAGCAGTGTCGGCTGGCGACCCCCAGGGGGAGGGCCTTCTCTGTGGGTGCCCCCGCCCTCTGGAACGAACTACCCCCCCAGATCCGGGTGATTCCGGATCTCCTGACTTTCCGCCGCGCCCTCAAGACATGGCTTTTCCAGCAAGCGGGCCTGGCCTAGGGAGGATTTTAAATCGGGTTCATTTTTAGAAAATTTTAAATATCACAACTTAAAATATTTGGGTTTTAATTGGTTTTATTCGGCGGGGATTGTGGGTTTGTTTCTGTTTTTAAAATGTTGTGAGCCGCCCTGAGTCCCTCGGGAGAAGGGCGGGATACAAATCGAATAAATGAAATGAAATGAAATGAATGATAATAATCAGACTTACCAAATGTGCTGCCTTCTACCCCTATAGTCTTTGCTATGAAAGTTATAGTTCACTAGGAGTAAATCTCAATTTGAAGTTATTTTTTTAATGAAAAAGGGATGATTTTTCCCCTTTAAACAAATGTTAAAATAAGATATAGAGTTACTAAAGTTGGAGAATTTAGAAACAAGAAAAATGAGCTGAAGGGGGATTAATCACCTGCTGCTTCTGTTCTCTGAATCAGATCTATTTCCATATCACTTTTTAGATCAGCTTCCCCAACCTGGGAATTATTCAGAGGATAGTTTAAACTCCCTGAATTCTCTCCACATAGGAATTCTGGAGTTAGAGTCTAGCCAACCAGTAGTTAACAAGGTGGATGACAAAGTTACAGAGATGATGAGTGCACCATTGGAAGACATGAAATAACATGTTGGGGATAGACCATCATGGCACCATTAGAAGATCTGAAAGGACATGTTGGGAATAGACCATCGTGGAGAAAAATCTGATTTGAGTTTTGTATGACACATACACATTTACAATGACATTTATTGAAGAGAGATCTCTTACTTTGATAAATACTGGCCTGATGTGAGATTTCTTTCCTCTGTGTTCAAGCAATTGGTTGTACTCGGAATCAAAGCCAGTTCTGGTTGGATGATGGTAGCTGAAGCAACTGCTCTAGCTACCAGCTCCATTGCATCCTGCACATAATCTTCAAAAAAAGACTGTGTCGTTTTCCCATGAGCTATAAGACCCAGTGGCAAACCTTCTGTCCTCAACTCTTCCACATTGTGCGAATCCCCAAGAATCCAATGAAGTTCTGGCGGCATAACTCCAAATTGTGTGGTTATCTCAAAAACCCTCCTTGTGCTTTCCATGTCACATCCAAACATCACCACTGTTGATGTTGTATCCTTAATGTTCTCCAGATGAAATTGCAGATAGGTCAAGAGGTCACTGGCGGATGTGAGGTTTCCTGTGATATTTATAATGGATCCCAAATAAAATTTGGAGCTCTGCTGAGTAAGGAAGAGAAAATCTGTGATGTTCCATTCTTCTTGGCATACCATCAAACTAAAATTATACCAGTTGTTCAAGGCCAAGATTGAAAAAGTGACATCAGCATCAAAACTCAGGGAACGTTCTAAACTCAACTGCAGGTGAAGGGGATTCTGTAAAATAAGAAAAATATTGGTTAGTGACTCTTAACTGGAAAGATGTTCAGATTTTGTGTGCAACATGGTTAAATGTGCCAACTATGTTGCTGGAAGCCCTATAGAACCTATTTGCAGATACATTCCTGTATCTGAATTTCCAGCATTTAAATCTCCAGTGATAATATTCCCAAGAATTTATAATAAGCCAGTGATGTCATTCCTAAAGGGTGATAAGAGAAACTCAAATCCAATTTCTCTTTCTCTTACCTACCATCATTTGGGTGTTAAGTATATTCAGAGTCTTTTTTATAAAAGCAGAGAGGCAAGCTCATTAAATGTATAAGAGATAATGCTATTTAAATCGATAAACACCTTGTAATGTCTATTATTGTCCTGAACTACTGGATTAAAAATGGTGATGGCCACAAATTCTACAAGACTATCATCTACATTCTTGATTGCATTGCAGAGATCTTTCTTTCTTTCTTTCTTTCTTTCTTTCTTTCTTTCTTTCTTTCTTTCTTTCTTTCTTTCTTTCTTTCTTTCTTTCTTTCTTTCTTTCTTTTCTTTTCTTTTCTTTTCTTTTCTTTCTGCCTTTGAGACAGTATTGACTCCTGGCAACAGCATAGATTAGTCTCTACAGTTTTTTGGCAAAGTTTTTTTGGAAGTGGTTTGCCACTACCTCCTTCCCAGGGCTGAGAGAGAGTGCCTGGCCCAAGGTTACTAAGATAACTTTGGGTAGGACCAGAACTCGCTGTTTTTAGCCTGGTATCTTAACCACTATGCTAAACTGGCTCTCATTGCAGTGACATATTCCATGCATATTTTCAGTCATCCAGGTCATGGTTGTCCCAAAGTTCCTTTTTCAAGAAGCATCTAGACTTTCTTGGTTTTTTTTTAAAGATGTTTTGCTTCTCATCCAAGAAGCTTCTTCAGGTCAGAGCTGAAGAAGCTTTTTGGATGAGAAACGAAACATCATCAAAGAAAAACAAGAAAGCCCCGTTACCTCTTGAAAAAGTACCTTGGGGAGTGACACATTCCATTAAAAGAAGCTATAAATAATCTAACTAGTATTTGTGGAAACTTTGCTTTGAGAAGTCAACATCATTAAAAGGGTTTGGATGCTGTTACCTACAAAACCTTAGTATGCCTCTGAGGTTTTGGTCAATATCTCAAAGGAACAGAAGTACTTGGACAATGGAAGGTAGCGCCATTTTCTATTATCAGCTGCACTAAATTCTGTACAATGTCTAACTGAACATATAACATATAACCCTAATCCATATGCAGGGTCCAAACTCTAGGCTTCTTCCAACCAACAAGGCAGGTAACCTGGTAGCTTTGAGATGCTAGGACATAAAACCATCTTTAACCTGAGAAATGTTGATTCATCTATTAACAACCTTGCCCCGTATCTCATTAATGTTTACTCATAAGGAAGTCCCACTAAATGTAACTAGAGTTGTCTGAGAGAAAATCCCACTGGAACTCAGTGTAATCATTTTTGAGGACTGAACTGTCTGTGAAATAGTTACCTCTGATATCAAAGCAGTAGCTTAGTTTAGATTTATTTATTTAGCGTATGGCATATCATTTATGGACTAGCAATATACATTAACATTTCATCTAGATTAGTAGAACACAATCAAATATAAATGTTAAAAAGATTTATGTTCAAATACCAATGTCTAGGCCATCAAACCATCGAAGCACAGCATTGTTTATATTAAAACCTGGATTTAAGGAGAAACTTCCTGACAGTGAGGACAATCAACCAGTGGTACAGCTTACCCCCAGAAATTGTGGACGCCCCATCACTGGAGATCTTTAAGAAAAGACTAGACAGTCACCTGTCTGAGATGGTGTAGGTTCTCCTGCTTAAGTGGGGGGCTGGACTAGAAGACCTCCAAGGTCCCTTCCAGCTCTATTCTATATAAAAAAAACCAGATACTGGAGTGATAGATGCCCTCAGTTTACAACCGGTCACAATATTTTGACACGTTTGCTTAGTTTGGAATTATCACGGAAGACAGTATTATGATATTTTTACTGCATAACAAATCAAGCCCATCTAAACTAAATGCTGTGAACTGTTATTCTCTTTTGAAAACAATTCTTTTATTTTCCTGATATCGATAGAGAATGGGAAAGCAGTCCCATTTGGCTCTACCTAAATGATTAAATGATTAAACATCAAAAGTGAATATCAACTGGAATTAAAATGTGTGTATAGACGCAAACATTTATTTCGCTCAGTTCGTACATGTGAAGCATTACCTCTGGAAATTAAAAACCAGCGTTCTTGAGCTAGAATTTGGCCCCCAAGTTGCTGGAGTGCTTCCAGTGATATAAATAGATTTTAACTCACACTCATGACTCCGATTTAATTTTAAGTGTGCATTAACATACAGCATTATTTAATATCTCTGATGGGAGACTTTTAATATTTATTCAGCTTTCCAGTTCAGGTGACTTACAGCAGGAGCTAGCAACTTTATGAGAGCTCAGGCTATATAAAATCAAAACAAATAAAAAAAATAGCTCAAATTTCTCATGAAATTGCTAACTTCCAGCTATTCTCCTCCCCTCACAGAAGAATGCCAGAATATCTTGAAATGTCCCCATTGTCATCCAAATCCACTTAAAATGTTGATATCCTCATTGAAATCTAGTGCAATAACATCCTCATTGAAATCTAGTGCAATAACATCATTAAATTTGTTTGTTACTTAACATTGGGTTGCCATCAGTGGTTTTAGGGATGTGATATTCTTATTGAAATTTAACGCAATAACATCCTCATTGAAATCTAGTGCAATAACATCATTAAATTTGTTTAATTGTTACTTAGCTTTCAGCTGCCACCAACAGTTTTAGGGGTGTATCGATATCACAGACAATATTTTTCTCATCCCTGGCCCAAATCTTTGAAGGAGTACTTTGTTTTAAAAAAGATTTATGCAAAGCACCCTTTCAAAGAAACATGATGAAACATGCCTCATCAAATCAAAGCTTTGCAACAACTTAGTAGTTTCTCAAGATTGTATGTGACATTGTAGTAGGTGACAATTTTATTTCAGAAGCACGTAATTAGGCTTTATCTTAATCCAACATTAAAATATAATTGCATAATTCAGATGCATCTATAGCTTCATATATGAGCTATCATTACCAGGAAATTTCATTTATTTCCCCATCCTACCATTTCATTCAGGATGAACTGCAGATGGAATACACGTATCCAATCTACCCAGTTAAAATATCCCATGTTATTACTTCTCCCTTTTCAATAGAATCCTTCTGAAAAAATGTGAACCCTTCATCTTATTTTTTTTTGATCTTTTGATATCCTCCTCCTCCTCCTCCTGTTCTATAGCTCCTTGCAGTTATATATTCAGTTAGAAAATCAGTCTCCTGCCTCACTTAGCCTAGCATGGCTGATAATACTGGCTAGTTCAGCTCTTCAGGTTATCAAGTATGATTCTCCCAGCCACAGCTGAAAATGCCAAGAATCAAACTTGAGGCCTTGGCCTGCAAGTTGTTTTTTTTACTTCTGGGTTAGTTCTTTATCTACACCTGATATCTCTACACCAGGCATGTCAAACTCGCAACATCACGTGGGCTGGCAGTTTGACACCCCTGCTCTACACCACGGATGTCAAACTCATTCGTGTCACGTGATGTATCATGATGTGTTTTTTTTGCCTTTGCGGAACTGGCATGGGCGTGGCCTGTGTGGGATGCATTCGACCCGCAGGCCACCAGTTTGACACTACTGCAAGTCTACACCAACTACTTTTAATATAAGATTCAAAGAGGCAGAAAAATGTGAGGACTGAGAGCAACAAGGAGAGGTAGCCTAATAGTTCTAGACCAGGGGTAGGCAACCTTGGCTCTTTTATGACTCGTGGACTTCAACTCCCAGAATTCCTGAGCCAGCCATGTTCTAGACCAGTGATGGTGAACCTTTTAGAGACCGAGTGCACAAACTGCAACCCAAAACACACTTATGTATTGTTGGGTGCCAGGTGGGCATGGCCCATTGGGTAGGTGAGGCCTATTGAGTGGGCATGGCTGCAGTGGTAATAGCAGACTGGGTGGGACTAAAAAGTTCAATCAATCAATTCCAACTTTGCAGATCTTTTTTTTCCTGCGAGAAGTTGAAATTGATTGATTGAGCCTTTTTTTTTTGCACACAGCGACAGAGGCCTAAAGCAAAAAGTATTATAAAACCCTACTGAAGACGTAGGACTGGGGCAATGGCATGCGTGCCCACAGAAAGGGCTCTGCGTGCCACCTGTGGCACCCGTGCCATAGATTTACCACCACGGTTCTAGACTAAGCTACTGTTTCATTTGGAACCATTCATTTCATTTTCATTTCATTTTATTTGATTTATATCCCGCCCTTCTCCCGACGGGACTCAGGGCGGCTCACAACATATTTAAAACAAAAACATACCCACAATCCCCGCCAAATAAAACCAATTAAAACCAAATATTTTAAAGTTGTGGTGTTTAAAATTTTCTAAAAAATAAACCCAATTTAAAATCCTCCCTAGGCCAGGCCCGC